TGGCTACGCTGCAGCTCCAGGATCCGAACCTCAGGAAGGCGCGTACCTCATGGTCCTCGGCACACCACGAGCCCCAATCCAGACGGGCCAGGGCCCTGCTCTCAACCCCTCGGCTAACCACCAGCCCCCCGTGGAGGCCAATACCTAGCGTTCAACCATGGGAACCAGGTTTGGGATCACGGGAGATGACAGGAGGGGCCTTTGCAGATGACAGCCGCGGATCTCAGGGACATGGACTGAGGCGAATAAGAAACTGCGCTCTGCGTCGGCCTGCAGTCCAGAGAGCCCGGGGTTCGGGTCCCGCTGAGGGCACATACCTCGGTTGCAGTTTGTCCCCGGCCCCGGTTGGGGTCGTGCGAGAGGCAGCCACTCGATGTGTCCCTTTCACGTCGATGTTTCTCTCTCTCCCTCTCTCTTCCGCTCTCCCCTTCCCACTCTATCTGAACAAAAATGGAAAATGTCCTCGGGTGAGGATAAAAAAAAGAAACTGCGCTCTGCATGAGTCGCGTTGCCCTGGCTTGAGCTCTGCTTGTAGCCTCCGCTCACACGGGAGTCAGAGTGTCCACTGTCTCACCGCAGCCCATGCAGTTCCCCAAAGAGGACCTCAGTTAAAATGCGACTCAGAGCCCCGGCCGGTGCTCAGCGGTTAGCGCATCTATCCTTGGACCAGGGAGTCGTGGGTTCGATTCCAGCCGAGGGCACGTACCTCAGTTGCAGTTGGGTCCCCAGCCGCGCAGGAAGCAACCAATCGGTGTGTCCCTCTCACGTTGATGTTTCTTTCTCTCTCCCGCCCTCCCTCCTACTTTATCTGAAGATAGATGGACAAATATTCTCAGGTGAGAATGTTTTTAAAAAAGTGACTCAGAGAACCAGAGATTTCAAACGGATGAGCATAGCCAGGTGATCAGTGAGGTCTACATGCAGCTTTTGGGTTACATATGAGTTTTGTTACTATGTTTTCTGTCCCTTGAATTACACGTATTTGTGGGTTTTGGTTTGTTGCTGCAGGTATGTACATATATTTTTAAGTATGCATACGGAAAATGTCATTCAGAGCAGAAACCGCAACCCTGCCTGTTGATGACTCTCATTATCAATCATACTGTCCCAGGCCCTGGGCTAAGTATTTCCTGTGAATTATCTCATTCAATTCCCACAGAAACTCCACATCCCCGTTTTACAGATGACAAAATAGAAGCACAGGAAGGGCAAGCCACCTGCCCAAGGTCACACAGCTACCCAGCAGGTGCAGCCAAGATTCCTTCTCGGAATTCATGATGCCAGAGTCAGGCCCCAACCATGGCTGGACCCTGGGTTTAGCCTTAAGAGGCTGACTTCAACATCTATCCACAGTCTGATTTGGGGCGAGGTGTCTGTCTTCCCTGAGCTTAGTGTCCCCTCCTTACCCACACAGACACTCCTTATGTCACAGGGGTGTAAGAAGGAGCTCGTTATATGTACAAGAGAGTGACCTGGACAATGCTAAGCGAAGGCGCCCGCCTGCGGCTCTGATTACAGACGGTGAGCGGAGGCCTGCATGGAGGAGGGGGCTGCGAGGGTCTGAGCCCTGAGGTTTCCAGGGCCCTCGTCTGGCACAGCGACCAGCTCCCGTCCAGATTCCAGGAAAGCAGGGAGATAAGAGGAGCTGACAACTGCATGGCTCGTCAATATTTGAAGAGGGGTGGAGACGGTGAAGCCAGGAGATTACGAGGCGAAACGACTCAGGAGATGGGCTGGTGAGAACTAAAGTATGTTTGGGAGGAGAAGCCGGATTCCTGGGGAGCCGCCGTGTGGGCTCTGGGAAGTCCCTTCCTCCTGGGGACTCCGGATGCCAGCAGCCACGCTCTGAGCTTGATTTAATGCTCTGCAGTCACCATTTTGAGGTTTTTAAAAATAGTTTTAGCTGCCCTGGCCGGTTTGGCTCAGCGGTTAGAGCATCAGCCCGCAGCCCAGAGACTCCCAGGTTCGGTTCCCGCTAAGGGCACGTACCTCGGTTGCAGTTCATCCCCGGGCCCGGTTGGGGTCACGTGGGAGGGAACCAGTCGATGTGTCTCTCTCACATCGATGTCTCTCTCTCTCTTCCTCCCTCTCTCCCTCCCGCTCTATCTGAAGATGAATGCAAAAATGTCCTCAGGTGAGGATAAAAAAATAAAATAGTTTTATCTTTGACCTTGTGTTGTGGAAGTAAAATCTCACGGGACAACCTATCAGAATGCCCCAGGGCGGAGCGCGGACCACGCCAAAGGCTGATGAGGACGTGGAGGCGCAGGGACCGGCTCGTGGCTGGTGGGAACGCGGAACGGCCACTCGGGAAGGCAGCCTGGCGGTTTCTCATCCAACTGAACACGCTTCTGCCTGTGATCCATCCATCTCGCTCCTTGGTATTTGCCCGAAGGAGCCGAAAGCTGCTAGCCACAGAAACACCTGCACAGGGGCGTTTGTAGCAGCTTTGCTCACAACTGCCAACTTAAAGTAACCACCATGTCCTTCGGCAGTGAGTGAGGCGTACGCCAGACAATGGAATATCACGCAGGGCTAGATATAAACAAGCCTTCAGGCCGCGTGCAGAAACCTTGAATGCATATTACCGAGCGAAAGAAGCCAGTCCGAAGAGGCGACGAGCTATAGGACCCCAACTATTTGACCTTCTGGAAAAGGAAAAATATGGAGACATTTAAAAGATTAATGGGCCCAGCCGGTGTGGCTCAGTGGTTGAGCGTCGACCCAGGCACCAAGAGGTCACCATTTCGATTCTCCGTCAGGGCACATGCCCAGGTTGTGAGCTTAATCCCCAGTGGAGGGCATGCAGGAGGCAGCCAATCGATGTTCTCTCTCATCGATGTTTCTTTCTCTCTCTCCCCCTCTCCCTTCCTCTCTCTCTAAAATCAATAAAGAAAAAAATGTTTTTTAAAAACTCTCTAAAAGATTAATGGGCAGGCCCTGGCCAGTGTGGCTCAGCAGTCAGAGCATTGGCCAGAAGACCAAAGAGTCAAGGGTTTGGTTCCCAGTCAAGGGCACATATCTCAGTTGCAGTTCCTTCCCCGGCCCTGGTTGGGGTCACGTGTCAGGTGACCAATCCATGCCCCCCCCCCACATCTGAAAATAAATGGAAGAATATCCTCCAGTAAGGATGTAAAAAAAAAAAAAAGATGAATGAGTGGTTGCCAGATGGGGAGGAGAGGGGGGAGGAGGCGAACCTGGTCAAGGGAGTCAGCTGCCTGGACAGTGACGTGTACAACACACGTGCCCACTGTCTGTTGCTCTCTCAGGTCCGAGCTGGTAGGGCCCTGAGAAGCCACACCTTCCGTGCAAATCAGAAATGGTCTCAATGCAGAAAGAAGGCTCTGCTTTCCAAGAAACAGAAACCACCCAAGAACCAGCCGTATCATATCCCTGCCTACTCACATTACCGCCCTGTGACAGCCCCGGGGTGTTACACGCCCGGTACAGCCCCGCCGGTGTGGCTCGGTGGGCTGAGCATCGTCCCATGACTGAGAGGTCCCGGCTCCATTCCCGGGAAGGGCACACGCCCGGGGTTGTGGACTCGATCCCCAGTAGGGGGCGTGCAGGAGGCAGCCGATGGATGTATCTCTCGCTCTTTCTCTAAAAAACAAACAAAAATCAATAAAAACATTTTTTTTTAAATAAGCATAAAATAAGCCCTAAGGCGCTCACAGCCAAGGGCGGCCCGCGGAGACAGGGCGGTAAGGCGGCTGGTGGGGTGGTCGCCCTCTGGGCCCAGGGCAGCACCCCAGCTCCTGCGGCTGCAGGCCAGGTTCTGCGCCTGACCGCTGCCTAGCAATCGGGTTGATCACATCCCAGACTTAAAGGTTCAGCGCTGAGCTGGAATCAAGTTCACAGCCCTAATTACGGTGCGTCCAATTGTGATCTCTGTTTACTTAAATACCATTTTTGTCCTTGACGCGCTGCGTTCTGAAAGGGGCCTCCTCCGGCCCTCCCTGCGTCTCTCTTAGCAACTTTGGCTTTTGTTTCATAATGAGGGTCACACTCTGGTTCTGTGCTTACTTGTAGGACTCTGTTCAATTACAAGGAGCCCAGGAGGGTGGGGACAGGGCCTCTGTTCCTCCTCTGTCTAAACCGGGGTCTCTTTATAGCCTGGTACTCCACAGGTATTCATGATGGATGCTGGGATAAGCACATTAATGAATAAAGCCACAGTGATTACTAGTTTGCATTTCTCCTCAACGTTTGCTCAAGAACACTGACTAGTATAACTCACCATGTTTCCCTTTTTGCACTGGCTGTTAGGAAGCTCAAAGCTGTATCTTCATAACAAGGCTGTAAATCAACATGCACATTTTTGAGGATCCTGGTCCCATGGAGGTGCCCACGCTTGGTTTTCTATCTCCTTTTGCTGTTTTTAACATGTGCTCTCAGACTGTGTTGCATACGTCTTTGCGAGACGCTTTAATCAATACCCTCACTGGAATGAAATACGTTAAACAGCCCGACGCCACACTGTCGCCAGAGCACTGAGTCTGCCTCAGGCAACCTGCTTCCCAGTGTCCAGAGCCCTTTGGGAGTGGTGTTTACGTGGGTAGGGGCAGTGCAATGGGTGAGATGCTTTTCCTTCCGATTCCGTGGTTGGCTGGGTGGTGGAGGAGGTGGTGATCCGGAGTAAATGAAGGTGAAAGGCAGACAGAACTGCAAAACCTCACAGAACGTGTTTTCCCTGCTCTGACCATGACTCTGGTTACTGGGGAAGGGAACTGGCCACCCAGGTCCACCTGAGCAGCCGAGGTGGGGGAGGGGCACTGGACAGGATGCTTGGAGGGCCAGGGAGGCATTAGTGCGAGAGGAATCAGCTGGTGGTGTTTATTGAAGAGACAAGGACATCCAGAAAGAGAAGCTGCGCCCATAGGGCAGTCAGGGGACAGGATGGCCCCACCCAGACCATGTTTGCCCTGCCCTGTGTATTCAGCCAGCGGGCTCCGGATGAGGAAGCAAAGGCTCAGTTGACAGCTGGTACTGGGCTGTACCAGGTGGGGACAAGGCACCCTGCACAGAAGCAAGTCCAAGTGACACCAGCGGACTGAAGGCACCCCTACCAGGGACTCCACAGGTAATCCCTTTCGGCTCCTTGAAGCACGCATGAGGGTCTGTTACTTGTGGTAGGCGGTGATCTACAGAAGCAGGGGGTCAGCGGGGGCTGTTTGACCCCAGCTCTGCCACAGATCCACTGTGTGGCCTTGGGCACCTGTGAGAGGGACCCAAAGATAGCCTTGCCTAAAAGAGTTCTATAGGGGGCAGTGGTCAAGTGGGCAGTGTCGGGTGCAAAGCGACAGAAATAGCTCCTATTTGCACGGAACCCGGGAAGGTCATTGTAAACGTAAAACCTGGGGAGAAATCAGCAGGTAGAGGGGTAAGGTCCATCCGTAATTTGGGGACGACTACCAGGACAAGAGTGCCCCATGGTTAAACCTACTCTGCGGGCACCAAGGGGCGTTGTCTGAGACCTGGAGGAGTCAGGGAGAAGAAAGCCTACAGGGTCCCTGTGAACCTGGCTCTTTGCACAGACTGCCTCATTGAGCACGCAGGACTCCAGTGCCAGCTACTGAGCTCCAGGAACTGGCCTGGCCCTACAACCTCGTTTTCTGCCTTGAAGTCGTGGTTGATCCGCGAGTAGGTGCCCTGGAGTTTGGGGCTCCTGAGCTGTAAAATGGGCGTAATAATAATGCTGAGATCAAAGTGAAGGTCGTGAGTGCTGGGCTGTGAGGACCAGGGCACATGACTGTCTAGCGCATGATCAGTGTCAGCTGCTGCACTGCGACCATTCTGTCCATTTAGTTAGGAAGGAGAGGCTGGGGGCAGGGGAAGGGACACCTCCCGGCCCTGGGAAAGGTCGCGGGACTGGGATCCAGCCAAGGCTGGGCTTAGTCTCCAGAGCAAGGCGCTCACCTTCGGTACAGACTTTAAGAGACACCGAAAGAACTCAGTCATCAAAATAAATTCTATTTTAAGGCAATATTTTAAGTCTTTTAAACTGCCCTGGCTGGTGTGGCCCAATGATTAGAGCGTCAGCCCCGCACACAGGAGGATGGAGTTCGATCCCAAGTAAAGGGCATGTACCTGGGTTGCAGGTTCGCTCCCACCCTGTGGGGGCTCCTGCGAGACAACCGATTGATGTGTCTCTCTCACATCAGTGTTTCTCTCTCTCTCCTCCCCCCTCCCCTCTCCACCGCCCTTCCCTTCCACTTTCTCTAAAAAAAAAAAAAAAAAATCAATGGGAAAAATATCCTCAGGTGAGGATTAACAAAAAAGTAAGAAATAAAAATACTTTAAACTAATTCCAAGAGATCTACGAGGAACAGAGTAATGTGTTAAGTGAAGACGGAATCAGTAACAGCATTCATTTCGGTTTTTTAAAGGCTGTGTGAAAATATGTTTATCTCAATGGCTGTTTTCTGGCTCCTCCTTCCATTTTGCACCGGGGGCGTGGCTCACTCACCCCACCCTCCTCCTGTTGTGATAGGGCGGCTTCAGGCCTGGGGGTCTAGTCCTGCTCTTTCCATCAATAAACGCCAGGGGTGGGGGGGGGGCACCCTATGGTGGTTTTCAATTTAAGAAAGTGGGTGAGTGAGCAAAGGTCCCAAATCATGGAAGATTTGTTCCCCTAAGAGTTCTGAAGGTGGTAGTTTTAGGGAAAAGGTACCCACCTTGGGAGAGCAACGGGCCGTAAGAGCGCCCATGGGGGCTGGTTTCTGACGGCAGGCGATGCACAGGGAGATGGTGGGACCGCCTGGGGAGGCTCGGGGACCCCCAGCCATGCAGGCTCATCTGTCCCGAGCTAGAAACCACTGACCGGCACCTCGTGCGCAGCCTCTCGCCTCTGCCCGGAGCTGGGCGGGAAGCGGTCAAGGATTTGAGTAGGACGCCCAGGGAAACTGGCCGGACCCCACTCTGCCTCCTCGCAGCGTTCTGATGTGGGGTGGTCTCTCCATCTCCCAAGGTGCATTTAGGGCTCGCCATTGCAGGCGGGACAAGCAAGGTGCCCGCCCTCGCAGTTTACAGTCCAGGGGGGAGGGGATTGCATCGCGGCCTCTGTTTCTTTGCTTCATGGGTGATGAGCGGCTGTAGGGAAACGCAGACCACCCAGTAAATGCCTGGCCCGGGGCAGGACCAGCCTGCAGCAGGCCAGGCGCCTTCGGGGCAAATGCAGGGCGACACTCACTGGCTAGTGCCAATTCTGGGCCTGCCCAGCCCGGAGAGGGTGCCTCCTTGGCACCTGGGGGCCTCTCTTGCCCCCCCCCGCCCCCATCCTGGCCCTGCTTGGCTCACAGTAAGTAAGCCTTCAGTTCACGTTACCTGCTGTCGTTGTTAGGACAGCACTGAGCTCTAAGCCTTCTGGGAATATCAACATTATGCAGACATAACCGAGTGCCCCCACAGCAAAGCATCAAGTACCGAGCATTCCCGGAACACCCAGCTCTACTTTGCTGAAGACACCCCTTCGCCTGGGCGCACACAGCCCCACAGCCGGACGCGGGGCTGGGGGCGCACGGACGCAAGGAGGTCGGTGCTCGTGCGCCCCCTTGTGGAAGAGGCAGGCGGCACCGCTGGGCACCTGGCACCGCTGGGCACCCGGCATCGCTGTGCTGGGGAACAAGGGGGATGCAGGACCAGGGGCCGTGGCCAGAGGTCTGTTCCCTTCACTCACACTGACCTTGCCTTTGGGGAGGGGGGGCAGAAAGCTTGTTCTGCTGGGTGTGCCGGCCTGGCCATGTTGGCATTGCCCTCACCTGGGGGGTGAGGAGGGCTCCTGGTTTGCCTACATGCCACTGCATGGGTCGAAGGTGTTTCTGTTTACTCGGTGACTAATTCTGTCACCACTGCAGCCTTCCAGGACCTCCCCCTTCCGTGTGACGGTCATTTCGCTGCCGGAGCTGCAGACTCATTGTTCTCAGGGCAGCTGGGGCCGGGCTTGGTGTACACTCCGTCCAGGAGGTGGGCTTACTGCTCACCTGTGCCTACAATGAGGTGACGTGAACACCGGGCGTTGGTGTGAGAGCCACGCAGCTTCCCGGACACCAATGAGGTGAGGTCTGTGGTGGTCCCCTCCCCACCCCTCCCCTAGTAGGCCAGGAGCCGAGGCTTCTGCCCACAGCTGGTTCGAGCCAGGGTCTGAGCCCAGCAGGGTGGGTTTGTTGCGTCACCCCCACGGAGGGGTCTCTAACCAGCTCTGCAGAAATGGAGGCCCCTGGGGGACACTGGGCCGTCGTGTGGGGAGAAAATCAGAAGTCCAGCCCCTGGAGCAGGGTACCTCCCCCTCAGCACCGATGACATTTGGGACCAGAGGCATCTCTGCTGTGGGGCCCTCCTGTGCACTGCAGGATGCTCAGGGGCATCTCTGGGCTCTACCCACTAGGTACCAGTAGCCACCCCCACTCAGTTGTGACGGTCAAAAATGTCTCCAGCCACTCCTAAATGTCCCCCGTTCGAGAAACACTGTGAGTTACTGCGAGTCAGAAACGGAGAGCAGTGTACTTCTAAGGAGAACATTTTAATATAATAATAGAAAGATCCTCATTATATCTCTACACGGCCCTCACGGCCACTTGTCACATGCCAGACACATGCCCACCACATCCAACCTTCTGTGGCGTATAAGGCCCTCTGGATTAGTGCCACAACTTCTCGGTGCCTCAGTTTCTCACCAGAAAATTAAGCAAATAACAGCATCTACCCCAGAGGGTGGTTGCAGAGGCCAGGGAGGCCGACCACGCCCATCAGCGTGCCCAGCACACAGAAACCCCCCGCGCATTTGATGTTGTCGCTGTCGAGAATACTCTACTTTTCCACTAGGAAACGCCTCCAGGGGGGTCAGGATACCCTGGATACTCGTCCTCAGCAAAGGAGAGCTGCAGACCCAGGACCCGTGTCTCTTTGCAGGCTGACAAGCACAGAGCCCGCAGAGGGGGACCCGGAGAGGGTTGGGAACATTTCAGGCGCCCGGGCTGGTGGTCACTGGCCCCAGAGGCCCTGCTGGCCTCTGGGAATCCCCAGCCTGGTCTGTGTGTCAGGAAAGGCTGCACCCAAGGGATCCCCAGCCAAGGACCTCGCTCACCCCGAAATACCCAAAACAGTGGCTCTCGGCCTTGGCTGTCATGGAAATCACCTGGACGTCTTGAAACTGTACCCGCACCTGGGCCCCAGCTCCGGAGAGCCCGAGGCAGTCTGGCTGGCTGGGGCCTGAGCATGGGATTTGCATACCCTCCTGTGACCCCCAAGTGTGGCCCGGATGGAGGCCTGTCCTCCTGGACACAGAGGGAAGTGGAGAAATAAAGGGGCTTTTTCACTTGAACGACCCCCCACCCAACCCAGCGAAAGATTTACCCCACATTCTCAACATGCTGGGCCCTTGAACACGAGTCCAGTGTCAAAAACAAAACCCTCTGCCATATGGCCACTTGTGTTTAATGTCAACTACGGGCGTCGAAACAAAACAACGAACACCACCGGCTCACGAAAGGAAGGGCATTTTGACATCACCTTCAAACTTTGTCCTTTTCCAAAGAAAGACTAGCTCTTTCAAATGAACGCATCTTTCTGGATGAAAACCTCTCCCTGATTGGCCTTCCTTGTTGGAGGAAACATCACGGGGATTATTGCCAGAACTGCCCGGAGCCTCGGTTTTGCCATCTGTAGAATGGGGATGAGCAGTCCTTACCTCACAGTCCTTGAGCAGCGGATAGGCTGGTCAGCCCGTCCTGGTTTGCCCAGGACTTTCCTCGTTTTAACAGGAAGGTCCTGCCTCCCAGAATGCCCTGGGTGCTGGGACAGGTGGACACCATCCCGGTATTTTCCAGACATGCCTGATCATGAGAGTCACCTGTGTATTTGCTAACACTACAGCTCCGGGGCCCCCGCCTGACCTTTGGTGAGAATCAGAAGTGCAGGCAGGTCCCTCGGCTGGTTCTGACGGTCAGGCAGCTTTGGGGGACATGACAATATCAATAATGACGATGACGATCGTCCTCACCGTACCTGGCACTTGCACGGAGCTTACCGTGTGCCAGGTCCTGTCCAGGGCACCTTGCATATACTCGTGTGTTTAATTCTCACAACCACCTCCTCAAGCGGGTGCTGTGTCTACCCCCACGTTATAGATTAGGGAACTGAGGAGCAGCAAGGCTCAATAACTTGCCCCGAATCACGTACTCCGCGTGCAGCCGAGCAGGGACTCCTAACTCGGGGTTCGTCTCCAGAGGCCGCATTGTTACCCTCCAGGCTACACCACCCGCTACCTAGAGCGGCGCCGGGCGGGCACCTGGCAAGCTCTTCCTACACGTCCGATGTGATCATCATCATCGTTTTCTTCATTGTACTATCTTTGGGGCATTAAAAGGCTTGCCATTCTGTTGCCAACTTTTAATTGCTAAATTTTAAACTGACCTGTTCATTGTGAAAGTTTCATCGCAAAGCATTTCCTTTGTCCCCCCCAGATCCTTTGACCTCACCCTGTAGGCTGAATCCATTCATTTCTGCTGATACTGACACCCGCCAATAGGTGGCAGTAACCCTTTGTTTTTGTCCCGTATAAATCCTGCTCTTCACAAAAGTAGAAGACGGGGCAGGAGGGATCTCACGAGCGTGTTACCGCCGTTGTCTGTCGCAAAGCAATTATTACCCGAATCCAGCTTGTCACTCCCAAAGACGTCCAGGGAAGCTACTGAAAATGTACAATGACAGGACCGTGTGACCCCAGTTCTGCAGGAAACCAAATTTCTCTCCTGCACACACACACGTCCCACTTCTCCCAGCCCGAAGAGTTTTCATAACTTCAAACATTTTGATTGAAAGTGGCCCCAAATTTGGACTGAATTTAAATGGGATAATAGGAGTTTTAAAAGTTCGCAAACCCATTGGCATATACTTTTTAACTGTGTAAAAAGCTGCATTTAGAAAGAGACCATCTGGCATGTGCATATCCGTGCACGTGGCCTTGGTCACGATGTGGAACCTGTAAACCTCGGTTTTCCCATCTGTAAAATGGGAATGACGACACCATTGCCTTGTCGATTTGCTGCCAGGAGTGAATTATTTTACTGCAAGTAAAGCTCTTAGGATAGTTTCTCGACACATGGCAAGCACTTGCCAAATTTGTTGTTGTTGTTACTATTTTATTAATATGGTTGTTAAAGCTTTATTGTCATCACTTTTGCATACAGTGGGTTCAAATCCTGGCCAGTCTTACTCTGGGCAACATCTCTCAGCTGCCTCGATCCCCTCATTTGCAAAATGGTTCTATATTCCCCAGAGAGTTCTTGAGCAGGGATTGATGAACTTTCCGGAAAGGGCCAGAGAGTACATATTTTAGACTTGGCAGGCCAAACGGGCTCGGCCACAACTAACTGCCCAGCTCCGCCTTGTAGCAAGAAAGCGGCCCTGCGTCGAGGCTACAGAAATGAGTGGGCGTGGCTCTCTGCCGGTAAAACCAACATTTGAATTTCATGTCATTATGATGGGTCGAAATCCCAGATTCTTCTGATGTTTTTCCAACCACTTGTAAATGGAAATCCCACACTCAGCTTGCTGGCTGCACCCCAACAGGCTGCGGGCTGGCTGCCCCTCCCCCCCCCCCCGCTGTCATTTGCTGACCCTGGTCTTGAGGATTCGATATTATATTCACAAGGTCCCATTTAGGGATGAAGTGATGATCTATTGTGAGGATGCCTATCAGGGATGTTACAAAGAGAAAGCATTGCATATAACTAGTGTTCTGTATGTCAGCCCTGCTCAGCGTTAGTACATGGTGTGATTAGAAAACATGTAAAATCCGCAGATTCTGTTATCTACCAAATTCCCCCGCAGAGAACAAGCGAAGTCCACGACTCCTTGCGGCCTCTGGAATTTCTGATTGCTCAATGCATCCATTTCCATGGGCAAGAGGCCCGTGGGGACCCTCGGAGGGGCCCTGGCTGCCTTCTGCCGAAAATCCAAAGTCCTGGCTTTTATCCCGGAAGCCCCCAGTGCCGAGGAGCCCGCGGCCAGGTGTCTGGAGCTGGGGCTCCACTGGGGTCACCTGCGTGTGCGTGTGAACTAGAAGTGTGAACTAGAAGTGTTTCGGGAGCAAGGGGGCGGGTCTTGGAGTGGCTGCAAGAGCCCCCCTCTGGAACCGGCAGACTCTGGGTCAGATCCGGGCTCCGCCAGCTGGAAGAGGTGTGTCCTGGGTGAGTCTGGGAGGCTCATTCCCTTCTCTCCGAGGGGAGGCGCTGCTGCTACACGCGCAGCTCAGAGGAGAGGGGCCCGGCCGCCTGGGCTGGATCTCGCCTCTGCCCTCGTTACCTGGGTGACCTTTGGGAAGTAATGGAACCTCCTGGGACAGCTCCCTTGTCCTAGAGCGAGATGATGGGAACCCCTCCCTTACAGGAACTCTGGGGCCAAAGGCAAAGACACAGGAAGTGCCCTTGGAGATCGGGCGTGGAGGGAGAGCATGCTAAATCAGTGTTGACCGTTGTCGTTACGGTTATAGCAAGGTTCTCTGGAGGCTCAGCGAGGTTGTGGGCTTGCCTAGCTCAAGGCACGCTGGGTGAGGACAGTGATCAGTGATGGAGTCTTTCATTCAACCAGTAAGTAACAGTTAGCACCTGAGAAATGCAAATACCGTGCCGAGAACCCGAGATACAAGGGTGGGTGAGACAGACAGGCCTGCCCGCAGCGTTGACTGGGGAAGGGAGACAGACACTGAACACTGTGTTCTGCCCTCCACCCCTTGTCCTCGGCCGTGGTCCCTCCTGTTATGTTACCCATGTACTGTCATGCATAGCACTGCACCCTGCCTTTTGTTTAACCAATGCTGCTATACTGCTTATTGTGAGCTAGACATCATTCTAGCCCCTTTACAAGCCTTAATTCACTGAGTGCGTAGGACTCCTGCAAGGCACAGAGAGGTACCGGACTCATCCGAGGACACACAGCATAAGGGGCAAAGAGAGGGCTGAAGCCCAGGTGGTCTTGTCCAGGCTCTGTGCTCCTGGCCACTGCGCCCTGCTGCCTGGTCATCGGGATGGCCTGGTATGTCGAGTCCTTGTTTTGTTTGTCCACCCGCCTCCCCCCCGATGCAGCCCTCCGAGGTCAGGGGCCTCGTGTCTCATTCACAGTGTAACCCTAGCGCCTGGCACGGTGTCAGGTGCAGAGCTGGTGCTCGATACACATTGGCTGAGTCAATGAATGAGTGAAAATGTAGCCAATAAATATATCATTATAAGTAGTGCTGAGTGCTATGATGGGTTTGACCCGGGGCGGGGCCGAGGGGGGCTCATTTAGGTTGAGGGTCAGAGAATACTAAAAACGGCATCGTTTTCATTATCTTCATCCTAAAATCTGGGTGTAAAAGCTTTGCCTGAGAAGGAAGAAATGTTACCTGCACTGAACACACTGTTCATGATGATAAATATTTACCCCACAAATGAAATGCAGTTGAAAATTGGGGCCCTGGCCATTTCAGCTCAGTGGTTAGGGTGTCGGCCCAAGCACCAAAGGGTCCCGGGTTTGATTCCCGGTCAAGGGCACATACGGGGTTGCAGGTTCGATCCCCGGCCCCAGTTGGAGTCGTGCGGGAGGCAACCGATTGATGTGTCTCTCTCACATCGATGTTCATCTCTCTCTTTTTCTCTCTCTCCTCATCCTCCCTTCCACTCTATCTAGAAATCAATGGGGAAGTATTCTTGTGTGAGGATTAACAAAAAGAAAAGAAAAAAGAAGGAAAGAAAATCGGGGCTGCGTTTGACTAGCTTTGGAATAACCGTCTAAAATGTCTCACTCCCCAGAATGAATTGTGACAATACACCCTCGTAACGTCTCAGGTCCCTGCACCTGAGCTTCCCAGGCAGGGGATAGAATTTCGTTTGTCTCGCATTGTCATCTCTCTCTCTCCCCTCTTTACAGGAACAATGGGGAACCAGATCAGTGTCCCGCAAAGAGCCGAAGACCCAGAGCACGACTCAGAAACACACACTCGCGAGGTAGCGGCATCGCGGGCCTGGGCCCCTGGGCTGCGTGGAGGCGTTGGGGGAACAGCGAGGCCCAGCGTGCGTGCTCCCTGCTGGAGGCGTTGGGGGGACAGCGAGGCCCAGCGTGCGTGCTCCCTGCTGGAGGCGTTGGGGGGACAGCGAGGCCCAGCGTGCGTGCTCCCTGCTGGAGGCGTTGGGGGGACAGCGAGGCCCAGCGTGCGTGCTCCCTGCTGGAGGCGTTGGGGGGACAGCGAGGCCCAGCGTGCGTGCTCCCTGCTGGAGGCGTGGGGGGGACAGCGAGGCCCAGCGTGCGTGCTCCCTGCTGGAGGCGTTGGGGGGACAGCGAGGCCCAGCGTGCGTGCTCCCTGCTGGAGGCGTTGGGGGGACAGCGAGGCCCAGCGTGCGTGTTCCCTGCTGGAGGCGTTGGGGGGGACAGCGAGGCCCAGCGTGCGTGCTCCCTGCGTGGAGGCCGTTAGGGGGACAGCGAGGCCCAGCGTGCGTGTTCCCTGCGGGAGGCGTTGGGGGGACAGCGAGGCCCAGCGTGCGTGGTCCCTGCGGGAGGTGTTGGGGGGGACAGCGAGGCCCAGCGTGCGTGCTCCCTGCGGGAGGCGTTGGGGAGACAGCGAGGCCCAGCGTGCGTGCTCCCTGCGGGAGGTGTTGGGGGGACAGCGAGGCCCAGCGTGCGTGCTCCCTGCGGGAGGCGTTGGGGAGACAGCGAGGCCCAGCGTGCGTGCTCCCTGCTGGTCTCCTAGACCCGCCTTCCCACGGGTCCTTCTGTCGCATTGGAGCCTCCGGAATCCGCCGCGCGCTGGGCAAGAACGGAGTGAGGGCCCCACCTGAGCCTCGCGGGTCGGAAGCCGTCGAGCTGGGAGTCTAGGGAGCCTGTGCCTCTCGACCTCCGCGCCGGCTCCAGCAGAGCCAGTCTGACACTGTCCCCAGGGGGTTTAGAACAGTGGTTCTTGACCACCGATGACTTTGCCCACCCCACCAGGGGACGCTTGCCGTGTCTGGAGACATTCTGGTTGTCACCACTTGGGGTCTGGGGAGGTGTGCTGCTGATCTGGTGGGTGGTGGGCCAGGGTGCTGCTCAACACCCCACAGGGCACAGGATGGCCCCCCAACAAAGAAGGATCAGCCTCAAATGTCAGGTTAGGTCACACACACACACACACACACACACACACCTTTTTAAATATCTGCGATAAACAACAGAAGAGGAAAAAATCAGGGCAGTGGCCAGAAATTGGAAAAAGGCTGCGGCCTGAGCTGAGGGGCAGAGACGCTCCAGTGAACGTCCTGCGCTCGGCAGGTGTGGACAAAGGGCCTGGCCAAGGAGTGTGGTGTGCAGGGCAGAGGGGTGGCCGCCCTCACAGGTGTCGAGTCCGCGTGCTGAATGATCCCTGGTGATCAGACAGGTGCCCAGGCGGCCTGGGCTTCCCTGCACGCACGGCGTCCGTCCTGCCCGCGGGCCCCTGAGCTGAGCCAGGCAAGGGCTGTTCTCAGGATCCCAGGGATCCAGTCCATGGGTGGGGTCGGGGTTCCCTGCTAGAACACTGGGGGGTTCCAGAAACACGGCTTTTAAATTAAGGTTGATCTTGGGAGGCACCCTTGTGGCCTCGGGTTCTTCTGATTTTCCCGCAAGACTTGACTAATACCGGCACGTGTTCTATTCAGGCGGCATCCAGGAGCGACTGTGTTCAAAACGGGATGCCGGTGATGGTGTCAACGCACACGGTTCAGCTCTACGACGAAGGTCAGTGTCGCCCTTACTGCTGATCCTGTTTACGGTGAAACAGACCGGAAGGAGGGGAGCCCTGGGCCGCCTTGGAGACACCGTGTCGTCTCTCGGGGCTGCCTAACAACCTGTCGCAAACGGGTGGCTTAAGCCGCAGAAATGTATTGTCCCCGGTGCTGGAGGCCGGAAGCCCAAGATCAAGGTGTCAGCAGCGTCGGTGCTTTCTGGGGACCGGGGAGGGGAGGGGGGGTCTGCTCCCTGCCTGTGGAGCTCCCGGCAGCCTCGGGCATTCAGTCCTCAGCCTTCAGCTCTTCTGCGTCCTCGTCTCTCTCCCTTCCGTGCGTCTGTCTGTGTCCCCCTCCCCACTTTTTAAATATGTTTTCATTGATTTTTGGAGAGAGAGAGAAATATGGATGTGAGAGAGAAACTTCGATCCATCAGCTGCCTCCTGCTCGCCCCCTACTGGGGATCGAGCCCGCAACCCAGCCATGTGCCCTGACCAGCTGTCCCACCAGGACCTCTCAGTCCCTGGGACGACACTCAATCCACTGAGCCACAGCCGGGCCAAATTTACCACTTTTTTTATTTTTATTATTTTTTTTCTTTACTGATTTTATAGAGAGAGAAAGGGAGACGGGGAGAGAGAGAGATAGAAACATCCATATAAGAGAATATCGACTGGCCACCTCCTGCACGCCCCCCACTGAAGATCAGGCCCACAGCCTGGGCATGTGTCCTGATTGGGAATCGAACCAGCGACCTCTTGGTGCATGTGTCCACGCTCAACCACTGAGCCACACAGCCGGCCCAAATTCCCCATTTTAATAAGGACACAGCCACGCTGGATTCTCACCTGAGTTGACTTCATCTTGACCTGGTCATCTGCAAAGGAGGTCCCCAGTACTGGGGGTAGGACTTCATCTTCCTCCAGGATGCAATTCAACGCAGCACCTCTCAGCTGCTCTGACACGTGTGACCCCCAAGAGGCCACAGGTTGGCAGCAGGTGAGATCGAAGCAGTCGAGGGAAAACACCGCGGCAGGCGGAGCCCCACGCGGTTCAGATCCCTGCTCTGCACCCTCGCTCCGGAGGAGCCTGGCTCCAGCTGTAGTCACAGACGCTGCGGCGTGTCCGTGGCTCCGAGTGTGCTTGCTGGCTCCAGGCTCCCCAGGCCTCCTGCCCAGACCAGACGCTCCTGTGTGTGCCCGGGGGGGGAGCGCGTGGGTGGGAGGTCACCAGTGGCCTGTCCCCTTTCCAGCTTTATTTTCTCCTCTTAAACCCATAACTGCCCATGGGGCTGATTCATGAGTTCTTTTTAAAATAACCTCTGAGCCCGGCCAGTGTGACCAAGTGGCTGAGCATCGACCCTGCACCAAGAGGTCGCCGGTTCGATTCCCGGTCAGGGCACGTGCCCAGGTTGTGAGCCTGATCCCCAGTGGGGGGCATGCAGGAGGCAGCCAATCGATGTTCTCTCCCATCAATGTTTGTATCTCTCTTTCCCTCTCCCTTCCTCTCTCTCTAAAATCAATGAAGAAAAAGAATTAAAAATAATAAAATAAAATAACCTCTGAGAGGTACATGACTCCAGGTGAGGGTGAAGAGTATAGACAGGGACAGGAAGGGGTGGAGAGAGCAATCAGGTGGGGTAGTAAACACATGTTAAAAGTGTGTTATCAGCCCTGCCGCTTTGGCTCAGCGGTTAGAGCGTCAGCCTGTGGTCCAGAGAGATCCGGGTTCGGTTCCCACTGGGGGCACGTACCTTGGTTGCAGTTTGTCTCTGGTCCTGGTTGGGTCATGCGGGTGGCGGCCACTCTATGTGTTCCTTTCATGTCAATGTTTCTCTCTCTCTCTCTTGCCCTCCCACTCTATCTGAACAAAATATGGGAAAAATGGCCTCAGGTAAGGATTAAATTTTTTTTAAAAGTGTGTCATCAAAATGAGAAGGAAGAAACCTCAAGCATCTAAGGTGAGTGACAATATTTGCGTCTGTCGGAGTGAAGGCTTTGCCCTGGACTTGCCTGTCTGTCGTAGCCGTCTGTAGACCCGGGAGCAGGGAGAGGGAGGAAGAGCCGCAGAGTAGCCCCACAGCGACAGACGCCCACCGGCGACGGCAGAGGGTCGTTGGCGACGGCGTGGGGTGAGCAGGGACCTCCGCCCACATCACGCAGGAGTTGAGCATCTTCACCGCTGAATGCTTAGACGGCACATCAAGCTCGCACCCCAAACCCATTCTTTTCTCCTCATGCTAGACCTTTGGGGCCGAGACAGCCTCGCTTTTCAATGCTGAGGTGGAGAGCATGAAATCTGAGGCTCGGGCACAATTTCCAAGCCTGACCTCTTCCTCCAAGCCCCACGTGATCTGCCACGTGGGCCCTCATTTCCAGACCTTTAACACAACCCCTGCATTAGCACAACTCAGGAGGCGCAGGGGTCTGAAGTGTCGCCGACTCCCACAGTGTGATCGCAAAAGGACCGTTTGTGCAAAACCTTGTGAGCTCTCCATCAGCATCTCCTAAGCGCTTGCCGTCTTCCTTTGTATTCAAACATGATTCTCTTTTTGCAGCTCTTAGCGTGTTGTCATCTCTTCCCCCTCCTCCTCGGGGGTGCGGGCGGACTGTCTGAACTTGAAGGTCCTGGTCCCACAACGGCCACGGGCGTGATCCAGTCGCTTCACACGTCCTCAAACTCCCAAATTTCGGGCAAGATTCACCATTTCTCTTTGCAAGGAGCGTGCACTCGATTCCATTTTCTTTGTCCTTCATCCTGACCCACTAGGGCATTGCTGAGGAAGGGAGATTGGAGTGGGGAATCGTTTTCATATGCGGGCATTCCACGTGTGAGTAAAATCACGACGACAGGGTCCGCGGCCCTTAGGAACTGGGGGCTTTGGGGAATGGGTTCTCAGAGGGTCGGAGCTTCCCCTCTGCCACCACTGTCACAGCCGTGGTCTCTGAGTGCTTGGCATCAGGTTCCCGGAACTCTGTTATGTGTGCCCATCGCTGCTGGGCATGCGGGGGGCGCAGCCGAAACAGAAACAGTGCGAGTCTCTGTCCACGCGGGGCCTCCATCCGTGAATCATGAGCCGACTTCAGACAGCAAGGGACGCTCTGCCACCCAGAGCGGAGGGGTGAGTGGAGGTTCCTTCAGGGAGGGTGCTCCAGGAGGCCTGGCCGAGGCCGAGTGACGACAAGGTGGTCATGGGAAGGTCTCTGGGGAAGCGTGACCAGGTGGAAAGAACACTTAGGGCGAAGGGCTCCGGGTGGGAACTAGGTTGGTGTGTGCACCGGGCGGGGGGGAGGAAGATGCCGGGATGAGCCGTGATCCTTGGTCGACTCGGGACTTGATTTTTCCGTGATGAGGCTCTCTTTGGACGGTTTTATGCAGATAAATGGCACGATTCGACTTCTACTTAAAACAAACCAAAAAATCATTTATGTTTTCCAGATGTGAGGAAACACAGGTTTTCTTTTTCTCTTGTGCACGGTTTTTGGGCGTGTTTTTGGAAGTCTGATTCTATTAACCAAACTGTGTCTGCTTCCTTCCTTCCTCTCTCCTCCCTCCCTCTTTCCTGTTTCCGCTTTGGGATCGGGCACAATGAGTTCAAATCCTGACTCCGCCGAGTGTGAGCTGGGCAATGTTAGAAAAGTGACTTGACTCCTCAGGGCCTCGATCTCCCCACCTGTGAACCAGGAGCATGACAGAACCTTGCTCGTAGAGTTGCCATCATAACGAAATAAAATGTTCTGGCCCTGGCTGGTTTGGCTCAGCAGTTAGAGCAACAGCCCGCAGACCAATGAGTCGCAGGTTCGATTCCGGTGAAGGGCACGTACCTCGGTGACGGTTCATCCCCCGCCCTGGTCAGGGTCGTGCGGGAGGCGGCCAGTCGATGTGTCTCTCTCACATCAGTGTTTCTCTCTCTCTCCCTCCGACTCTATCTGAAGATAAATGGAAAGATATCCTCAGGTGAGAATTAAAAATAAATAAATAGGTAAATAAATAAATAATAAATAATAAAATGCTCTGGTTACATGGAACATCTACCATCATGTATGACACATGAATACTAGATTTGTTTCACAGTTGTACCAAGGGACAATTTTAGCTTCGGTACCGGAAAATAAACGAGCCCCCGCCCAAGTGGCTCAGTTGGTTGAGCACCATTTAGTAACCAAGAGGTTGTGGGTTCGCCCTGGCCGGTTTGGCTCAGCGGTTAGAGCGTCGGCCTGTGGTCCTGAGAGACCCGGGTTCAGTTCCCGCTAAGGGCACCTACTTCGGTTGCAGTTTGTCCCCGGCCCTGGTTGGTCGTGCGGGTGGCAGCCACTCGATGTGTCCCTTCACGTCGATGTTTCTCTCTCTCTCTGTTCCTCTCTCTCCCTCCCACTCTACCTGAACAAAAAAATGGAAAAATGTCCTCGGGTGAGGATAAAAAAAAAAAAAAAAAAAAAAAGAGGTTGTGGGTTCAATTCCCGGTCAGGGCACATACCTAGGTTGTGAGTTCGATTCCCGGTCAGGGCACATACCTAAGTTGTGGGTTCAGTCCCCGGTCTGGGTATGCAGGAGGCAGCGATCGATGCTTCTCTCTCACATCAAAGTTTTTCTTTCTCCCCCTCCCTTTCTCTCTCTCTAAAAAAATTTTAAAAAAATAAAATGTTCGCTAAAAAGCTGATAATCCTTCCTCGGAAGTTCTGAACACTGTAATGCACATTGTGCGCGTATTGTTTTGGGTACAGAATTAGAAGGCTGAGGAAGCATTTTGGACTAAGAATACTTGGTGCTTGAAAAGGATACTCATTCCTGAAGCTTCTCTTTCTCCTCAATTTCCGAGGATACATTAATTCATCCCATTTCTATTTTTAAAAGTCTCCACCGAGCACTAAGTCGGTAGGTTAAACCACCGGAAAAACTCCTTGTTCTAAGACAGATCTTTGTAGTCATGACAAAAATGTCACAAACCAACGGAGGTTTACTGAATATCCACCACAGACCAACTGCCGCGTTCAGTGTCTTGTAGGAAATACGTCATTTAATCCTGGAAATCACCCTTTGGGGAAGGCATTGTTATTCTCCTGCTCGTTTTATAGTCACAATGAGGCACAAATCTATGAAGTAACCTGACCAGGGCACGTATTTAATCAACGAGGACTTCAGAGTTAAGCCCAGGTCCTTCTGAGCCACAATCCAAGTTCCTTCACTATGACACCGAGCTGGCCCGGAGTAAGTCCTCAATCCCACGTCTAGATAAAGTGACGTTCTGAAAAAGGAAAACCACACACCAAATACACCATCTCTTTCCTGCACTGCAGAGATCAAAGCTCTCATCCCTCCTACCCACTGGGGAGCTGCCGTGCGCGTTCACGCGGTTCCTTTTCATCATCCTTAAATGCTTGCACATTTTTTTTTTCACGGAAAGTAAAACTCCCCGGTATGTCATCTGTGAATCTGCTTTAGGAGGAGACGTTCTATTGAAACCAGATTCAAGAGGGGCTTCTCCCAAGGCTTTTTATAGGAAGTGCAAGTTTAGTTCTGGTCGTCTGGAAGGAACATAGTGTTCTTCCCAGAGTAACGTGAAGAAGGTGTGTCAGCGATCCCCACCTTTGCAAGAGGATAAAACTTGTAACTCCAAGGGAAAGAGGATAAAACTTGTAACTCCAAGGGGTTTTTACAATTTTTTTTATTGATGGATTTTAGAAACAGAGGAATAGGGAGAGAGAGAGAGACATCAATTTCTTGTTCCATTTATGTATGCATTCATTGGTTGATTCTTGTATGTGCCCTGACCAGGGATCGAACCTGCAACCTTGACGTATCAGGACGATGGTCTAACCAACTGAGCTACCCGGTCAGGGCTCCAATAGGTTTTCTTCCTGCTCACTCACACAGATTGGATGTGTGTGTGTGTGTGTGTGTGTGTGTGTGTGTGTGTTATTATTTTAGAACATATTTGTTTTTAATGTTTACCTAAGGTCTCAAAGGACTATAATCTCTTTTCCCCAAGTGGATTTTTTCCTTCACTTTTACTAAGAAGACAACACGTTGGTGGGTGTTTTTTAACTTCTGCCCAGCTCCTTAGAACTCTCTTCACCTTCCTTCCTCCCATACGAAATGCCTTGTAGGCAGACGCGAGGGGCCTGGACACTGCTTCTCAGGGAGAGATCTGATTGCTGCTACTAGACCAGTGAAATAGGACTGACCAAGTCCCTGAAATTCTCTCCAAGGTACTGAGCATGTACTCAATTTTTTAACTGGCGTAAGTTGCGGGTGAGGGATTGTTGGCCCTGTAACAGTAATCAAGCTTCAGGCACAGCTGGATTCAGGTGTCCAAATGCTGCCATTGGCCATCTGCTCCCTGGATTTTTTGTCTCTGCTTTCATCTGTGTTTGCCCGCAGGTAAGCATTCCCAAAGATGATGGCCAAGGCCACCAGCTCCAAATATCCCCTACTTGTTCGTCCACCCAAGCACAAAGAGCAAAACTCCGTTCTAATAGGTTCAGCAAGAGTCACGGGGTTTCTTTCATTGGTCTTGCTTAGGTCCTGTGCCCACCTGGGAGGCGGGCATCTTAGCAAGGGAAATCGAAGGTCCAGGGGATGGGCGTGGGTGTGCACTCACCCAACTTTGGGGGACAAAGCATCATGGGGTGTCCCACCTAAGGAGTCCGGAGTCACACAACGTATCAAAAACACTTCTCTCCTTCTCTGATATCAAGAGCTATGGGCCACATCTGTTGTACCCTCTAAATGCATCCAAGTCTTGTCTAGATACCGGGATGTAAGAAATGTATCTTTTATCAAAGCAATATGTTGGCACTTTTTTAAAAAACCTGTCCACGGGAAGATTTTTTTCAGAGGCAATTTCCACAGCCCTGACCCTCCCTCACATACCGGTGTTGCTTTGGCTCCCAGCCAAGAGTGAGGAGGCGAGGAAGAAGGCAGGACCACATCAGTTGATGCTCTTGGCATTTTCAAAAGCCCTTCCTTGTTTTGAATCATACGCTCTCCCTTTTTGTCACCTGTCTCCTCTCCCCTGGCGTGGACCATGCCCACACAATGCAGTGACAGTCACTCCGACACCTCAACCACGGACTTGCCTCCTTGGCACCCCGACACACTCACCTGTCCCTTTCTCTCTCCCTCCGGTCCTCCCTGAGAATAAGACTGACCGTGACCGTGAGCTCCTGGACCGCAGGAGAGAGGCTAAGAAGAGCTAGAAGACATGGGCGGGGTTCCTGCAGGTGACTCCCCGGAGGTCCACGTTTATGAGGAGACCCTGGTGCTGGCCTCTGGTCTCGGGTCAGTTCCCCCTCTGCTCCTCAGAGCTTAGGGGGAGACCAGCTCTGCATGAGGCTACAGCTCTCTCCTTCTCTCTCTCTCCTTCTCTCTCTCCCTCCCTCTCTCCCTCCCTCCCTCTCTCTCCATGTTTGCTTATTCCTCACTCTAGACACTGGCAGATACTAGAGTTTGGCAAAAATCATTGCTAATGGGTGGACGTGTGTGTGTGTGTGTGGACATGTGTGTTCTTCACTCCATGTTAACACCCAGTATGAGTAGACCAAGAAGCCTCGGTCCCCCCCCCCCCCCCCCCCCGCAAACAGATACTAAGAAGTGACTCCACAAATGTAGAAAGCAGGATGCAACACTGGCAAAGGCCTGGCAGAAATCTTCAAAGTCACCACAGTATCTTGTAACTATCAAGACCTACTATGGAGCGCCGGCCGATTTCGTTCAGTGGTTAGAGCGCTGGCCCGTGGACCAGAGGGTCGGGCGGGTTTGATTCCCGTACCTGGGTTGCAGGTTCCATCCCTGGCCCTGGTCAGGGTCATGCGGGAGGCAGCCAATAGATGTCTCTCTCTCACATTGATGCCTCCCCACCCCTCCCTTCCACTCTGTCCAAAAATCAATGGAAAATCACCCTCAGGTGAGGATTAACAACAAAGACCTCCTGTGAAAAGGCAGGTGCCAGACCTCAGGAAGGTTCCCCCTTTAAAGACCGCAACGCCCTGCAAGGGAGCTGCTCATTCCCATTTGACAAGTGAGGAAATAAATGCAAACAGGTTAGTGACTGGTCCAAGGGCATTCCACTTATCAGCGGAAAATCTTGGTCTTTCACTGTGGCTCCAAACTGTGTGGCTTTTCTCCTTCCCCCTAAACACTGCACGGCCTTATAAAGGGGCCCAGCGGAGCGGGCGGGTGAATGAGGTCGATCAGGGCGCAGCACGGAGCCGCCAGGCGCTGCACGCCGCAGGGGACAGCCTTGGACGGGGAACCCGGATGTCCGATTCCTCGTGGGCTGGAGGTCTGGCTGGCCTTCGTGTGTGGACATCTGCTCTCGCCTTCCAAAGAGAAACTCCCTGCGTCTTCATCTTGAAAATCTGTTCGTAGTCTCGTCAGATTTCTCACCGTAGCCTCTCTGGCTGTCCGTTCTCCCACTCACGAGCCCTGAGCACAGGTAACGGTCCTGGTACTTCCTGAGGACTTACTCTGTCCCAGCACTGAGCTGGCTGTGTGTGTGAAGTCTGTCAACCCGTGGAATTGTCATAGCAAAGTGCCTCATTGTACCAGACGGTTGAGGCGCAGAAGAGGTGACTTGGATTCAAATAGACATTGGAGCTCAGTGATACTTGATATTCTCAAATATCAGTCATTTCCCCCCACCTCCCCGCCCAGGGGACATTTGGCCATGTCTGGGGACATTTTTAGTTGTCACATCTTGGGGCTGTTGCCGGCAACTGGCGGGCTGAGGCCAGGCATGGGGCCAACTACCCGACAAGGCGTGAGATGGGCCCATAACAAAGAAGGACCCGACCCAAATGCCCGGAGTCCCGAGGCTGAGAAACCTCCTCTCCAGGTGGAGCCCAAGCTCCCAGCCGCTCCTGCCTCCCGGCTGAAATCACGACCCTTTGCTCCCAGAGTCCCAGGACGACGCAGAGAGGTCATTGCCACCAGCCTCAGGAACAGCACCGGGGTGTACTTTCCCGTGCAGGGCCTCCTCCTCACTAACCTTCCGTTCCTCTGTCCCGGTAGAGGAGGGTCCACGGGCGTCTGGATCCCGCCTCCTGCTCCTGGTGGCCGGAGAACAAGGGGACCCACTTTGCATGGTGGCCTGGGTGCAACGGCTGCAGTCCGTTGTCCACCTGGAGTTCCTGGCGCGGCTGAGTGACCCCTGTCTGTGTTTGTGTTTACAGTCGACTTGGGAATAAGTGTCCGGGACGACAATGTGGCCGCTTCTTCCCCCGAGACCGTGGAGAGCCGCGCCGTCGCGGGTGCCAACGGAAAGAATCTTGGGAAAGAGGCCAACCCCGAGGCACCAGCTGCCAGATCGCGTTTTTTCTTGTCACTCTCTCGGCCTGTACCAGGGCGTACCGGAGACGGAGCTGAGGACCCAGCCAGGGCCCCAGGGGCGCCCCCTGTCCGCTCGGCCGCAGCGCCGGGGAACAAAGCCCCGAGTGACAGCATGGCCCTTCCGCCCGCAGCTGCCCAGGGGCACGACCCAGATAAGAACCCCGGCCAGACCCCCGCCCGCCGCCAAGTCCTCTCTGCCACTTGGGGCTCGGGGCCTCTGCCACCCGAGCCAGGGCGAGCGTCCCCCTCCAAGCCAAAGGACGCCAGCTTTTTGGACAAACTCTTCAAACTGGACAAGGGGCAGGAAAAGGCACCCGCTGTCGGCCACCAGGAAGCCAAGAGCCTGGCGCCCCCGGACCCGGCTGACGACCTTCCTGGACGCCCCGGGCCGTCGGACCATGTCCCCGCGGAGAGGGTAAGTGCTGAGAGCGACAGTGCATTTGTTCTTGGCGCGCGCTCAGGGGCGCCCCGCGGGGGCAGGATGCGGGCACTCAGGTTCCTCGAGGTGTCAGCCCTCGGGGGCCCCCCAGCAAACGCAGCGCAGCCGGTGCCTCTGCTCAGTGAGCAGAAACATCTGTGTGCCGACCAGCCACAGCTGCGCCGTTTGTTTTATGTGAAAGGCGGGAGGAGGCGAGTTACACAGGGACGAATCCATCCTTCCATCTATCAAGGGGAAGCGGGACGGGCGGTGTGGATGATCCATGGAGTCGGGAGGGGGGGCAGGAGGAGAAGAAAATGGGTCCTAAAAGCCTTCACTTACGCCCCAGCCCTCAGCGGCTGGGCTCCCGCACCGTGTGTGTCCAGGCTCTGCTTGGAACAGGGCATTTCTTACTCTGAATAGCCCGCATCGATCTCTATCTTTCGTAGGAAAGGGTGAGTTTAAATAAAGAGCTTACCGCTCTGGGCAGATTCTTTTATGCACTAATTCTTTTCCAACAACCTGGCGTCATACCTGTACAAAAACAGACGTCTTTTCAAGGAGCGTCCAGAGGCTGTTTTTCCTTCACACACTCCGCCTGGGCAAAGGAAGAGCATTTATTTGCTTTGAACCATGAAAATGTGTGTTTGTGTTCGAGGCAGAGAAAAGAGCTTCTTGAATAAAGAAGGAAATAAAAGCGAAGACTTGTCCTTTAAGGCACTTATGTCCTTCGTTAATGGACTTTTAAATAACAGCACTTCTCCGACGCTGGGATGAACTCCAGTGCCTCTAGTTGAGGTTGGAGCCAGGGGGAAATTAGATGGCTGAGTTTGTTTGTTATTCTATGGCCATGTGTCATGACTATCAATATATTTGTCTTAATAAAAGCCAAGTGCATGGCCAAGTTGCTCATAAGAACACTGGCTGCCTTTTTTTTTTTTTTTAATGTTTTTATTTCTTTCTTTTTTTGAGAGAGAGAGAGCAAGGGAGAGGGAGATAGAAACGTCAATGAGAGAAAAACATTGATCAGATGCCTCCTGCATGCCCCACACTGGGAACTGAGCCCGAAACCCAGGCATGTGCCCTGACCAGGAATCGAACCAGTGACCTCCTGGTGCCTGACGACACTCAACCAACGGAGCTGCACCGGCCATTTATTGAGCACTAACAGTGTGCCCGGCTCTGTCCTAAATACTGTCCATGCATTGTATCACATCACTCTGTGGTTGTAATGCATCGGATGGAGTGTCACGCATTATAGTGGACATATTAAACACCAGCTGAAAAATCTGAACAGGAAAAATTGGGCAAAGGTCACTAAGCACGTGGGCTTAGGTTTTTAACTGTCAGCATTCTCGCTGTGCCCGTGAAATTTGACTCCAAGAAATAGGATCTTCAAATTTTCCTTCAAAGGTTTGAAAAAGTGCCCTTCAAACAACCCCCTCCCCAAAGGCACCAATTCAAGAGCCAACAGAATTGCTTTCTGTGTGAGTCAAAGCAAGTCTTTGGATGTGTTCAGGTGTCGAGTCTTTGCTGCGTGTGACACAGCCCTTGCAGGTGAGGCCAGCCCCTGGGGTGGGCAGGACAGTGTCCCTGTCCTCAGCGAGTGTGTCGTCCCGCAGAGAAGCGGTATGAGAACCCCACAATTATGATGCAAGGTCTCAGGCTCTGCTGGGGAGACCACCTGCTGGAGAGGGTGCCCACACACAGGGATTAGCCTCACTGGCCCGGGAAGCAGCATATCTCTGTATCAGCCTGCAGCAGAACGTGACGTGTCTGGGGGCCACAAACTGGCCATCAGTATCGGGACTGTGTGAGAAACTAGGTACCACTTTACTCTGAGCAGGGAAACTGAGTCCAGGTTATCGGCCATGGGCTCCTACGGCCGTTCCGAGCTTGGGATTCATCAAATAGTCACACGTCTTGTTAACACGGGCCTCCCAAGTCAACTCGATGCCTGCTTTAGGGAAAGATTGGGGGTTTTTTTTGTGGCAAGACCCGTGTTTGGACCGGTGACTTAGTGACTCACCCAAATCCCCGTCTTAATTAAGGAAACCAGTCCAGCATCTGATCACGGGGCCTCGCACGCATGCAACTTCCCTCAATCCGTAGGAAAAGCGCAGAGACGTTTTCGAGTGGAGCTTGGCCAACCTGGCTCTCTGTTCGCATTGACGACTCTTACGGGGAGCACCTCAGTTTGACTGGAATGAGTTTCAACATGGGATTGGAGTCAGAAGATGGGGGCTGATGTTGAGAGCGTGACCCCTGTCTGCACACAGGCGACGTTTTGAAGTTATCCTCACCCCTCAGAAGACCCCAAAATGGTCACTTGCCTTCCTTTTTGAGTGAATCACTACCCTTAGATTCACTAATAAAAATTGCGTCTGTTTTGGGGACAGTGCCGATTTCCGTTCCCTGGGGGCAGGACCGGTGGGATTCGATGCCACTCTGCACGTGAAACACAGACACGTGTGGAAAACACGTGCCATGTTTTCCCTGCAGCCTGTGAGCTGGAGGACATGCAAACACACGTGTCTGCAAAGCGCCTTCACAATCAGCTTTTTGGTTGCTGGTTTCTCTCCTCTGATGTCTGGCCGCTCGGTTGTGAGCCTGCAGCCACAAAACAAACAAAACCAGCTGCTCCCCGAGTGTGCTGAGCAAGTGCAGCCTGCGAAAGTGACACGCATGACGCTCCCCATCAATGGCCTTCTTGGTGGGGGTGGCAGAGTGTGCATCAATGGTCAATGTATTGATTCAGAGTTCTTGGAGTAAATGACGCCTGGGCTCGGCCACGACCGCTGTCCCTCCCCTCCCACCCACGCAAGCCTTGCCCCCCCCCCCCCACTGCTGTGGAGTTCCAACCACAGACCCACCAGGCTGTATTGGGAGGAAGATGCTACCATTTCATTCTTGGGGGAGGTGTAGGGGGGACACACAAATCTCCTGTGTTTTCCGAACAACAATCTGATTTTTGTGCCTCGTAAAACTACATTCAGGGCATGGCAGAATTAAAACAAGGCCAGAATTCATGGACAAATGAAGCATTTACTACGTAGGCCAAAGGGAAGATAAATTAGATTCCCGGGAGGTCTCACAGAGCTGTGATTCACGCGAACCAACGTGTCCGCGAGGATAAGATTTCTTTTTAATTTCTCTCCCCTCTCAACAACTGAACCAAAGTGATAAGATCTGCATTGAAGACTCATCGCACGCACAGAATAAAAACTTGACCTTTACTGGTTAAACACACACACACACACACACACACACACACTACATTGCTGTTGTCGGCCAGACTTCCAGAAGTGTCTTTGTGTTGGGGGCAGGAGGCATGCCTCAAAAATGTCGTCAAACGCAGGTCCTGAGATGCAAATAGGAATATTCCTTTTCTTTTCAACGTGTGATCGAATTCTGCAGTTGTTATTTAAACACCCACCTCGTCCTGGTCCTTCAAAGATCATGCGATTTAGTAAGAGGCACCGTTTCTTAAAGGGGAACTGTGATAAGGGCATTGACCCGCAAATGGGTCCAGACCACTGATACGAAGAAAAATACTGGGTGGTTTGGCTTCCTCCTTTTATTCTCTGTCTTGAATATGCTCCTTTCAGGCTTTTATCCTCCCCCCAAAAAATGCTCTTGTTAGAGTTGGGCCACGTGGTTGGGCATATCTTCCAAGGTACAGTTCTTCTAGGAAATGCTGAGGTAGGCGTGTAGACCAAAGTTGGAAAATGGTTTTATTCGACCTATATACAGTGTATGAAATAATATTCTAATTAATTGATACTATTGTTACACTGGCAACGTTGACAATGTTTTAAAATTATGAGGTCTCGATACAACTCCCCATTTCAGACATTTCTGAGAAATGGGAAATCGTGTCTTGGGTTCCGAGATGGAACGTGCGTTGTGACTGTCCCTTGAGACGGGGCATCCACACGCCGATTCGCCCAGGTGCTCACCCTCCGCTGATCCCCAGCTGGGCAGCGGTGTAAAGTAGCTGTCCCTTACAACACTTGCTTTGTCATTTTCTTGCGCTAGAGTTGAGAGCAAGTTAAAATATTTACTTAAAAAAAAAAACAAAAACTTTCCTCCCTCCACAGCACTTACCACAATTTCATGAGACTTAAGGTGACCATCTGGTTAATAAACTGTAAATCCAGCCAGAATGTCCTTCGGTTGGCACGTGTGGAATAAATAAGAGACAGGAATACTTTTTTTAAGAATGTTTTTATTGATTTTTTTAAAGAGAGAGAAATTGATGTGAGAAACATCGACTGGCTGCTTCCCGCACGCCCCCTACTGGGGATGGAGTCCACAACGCAGCCATGTGCCCTGACCGGGACCTCAGTCCAAGGGACGGCGCTCAACCCACTGAGCCACACCGCCTTGCATGAATACTTTTGTTTATTCATTCAGCAAACATCTTGGCGCTTTCTCTGTGCCAGGAATGGTGTTGGGTCTGGGGTGACAGAACAATGTACCTCAAGGGTGCTTCCAACCTGTAAGCAAAAAACAAGACAATTAGTAAACAAAGCAAACAGTCCCAGAGTATGAAAAGGGCTATGAATGAAATAAACGACTTCGAGATAGAAAGCTGATCATTAAAATGTGAGATAGGAAGTTGATCATTAAAATTGGGTAGGAGAGCCCCGGCTAGTTTGGCTCAGCAGTTACAGCATCAGCCCTCAAAACAAAGGTGTCTCGGGTTCAATTCCGGTCAAGGGCACGTACCTGGGTTTCAGGTTCGATCCCCAGCCCAGGTTGAGGTCATATGGGAGGCAATCAATCAACGTGTCTCTCTTACATTAATGTTTCTCCCCCCCCCAACCCCCGACCTTCCACTCTGTTGAAAAATATCCTTGGGTGAGGATTAATTAAAAAAAAAAAAAAAATGGGTAGGGGGTAGGGTCAGGAAGGAGTGTGGTCTAATCAGAAATTCAGGAAAACATATGCGATGCCCCCCCGCCCCCCGTTCTGCACAGTTGCCAAACCGTTCT